CTTCAGATTAGATAAGAGGGCATCTTTGGCAGTTGAGCTATTTCTCCAGTAGTATATCATATAAAGCACATGCCACAGGGGCTGGAGAGATGGCTCAGTGGTTAAAAGCACTGGCTGCTCCTGCAGACAAGCTGGGTTTGGTTCCCAGCACCCACATGGTGGTTAAAACAGTATGTCACTCCAGTATCAGGGGATCTAATGCTCCCTTCTGACCTCTGCAGACATTGCATGACATGGGTGCACTTACACACATGCAAGCAATGCTCGCATACAAATACAGTAAAAATAGTAATAAATACAATGTTACAGAGTACACTCTACATTTAAAATAGAAAAGAAATGCTCTGCTAGCACGTGACCGTGCCACACACCACTTACACGTCCATCGCTCCATCACTCTGCTGCACAGGCACTTTTCACCCATGTTCTCTCCTTTTTCGAAATTTGCTACTTTAATGATCTACATAATTCTGCATTTGTCTAACCAGTTACAAAGATTTACTCTTTAAAAAATAAAAAAGAAGAAAATACTCTAAAAGTTGGTAATATCTGCAGTGGGACTGTAGTTCTACAATTAAATCCCCATGACCACTATTAGAGCTAACCCAAACCTCTTCAACTTCCTAAATATAAACGCATGATCTTATCATAATGCCTATCAGCAATTATCTTGCCTGAGATCTTCGTGAAATTACTCCCCCTAAGCCTTGTCTTACACTGGTATTAAGGTGAGTCAAAAGCTACAAAACTCATTAATTAAATAAAAGCTGGCATTGAGTAATGTCCATTAATCACACAAAGACAACCTCATGTGTGCATAATAACTGTTTTCTCACGCATCAAAGATTATCGCCTTTCCACAAAATTTTAATCACTTTCCAACATATTCCCATCAACTTAATTATATTTGAACACAAAAACAAAAATTAGAAAACTAAGGCATTTTTAAAGCTTCCCAAGTTACAACTTATTAAGATTTGGTAACTCAAAAAAAAATTCCAAGGAATAAGCCACTCATGCAACTAATGCAGAATTCATCTTTGGAAAATCTTGAGAATGGATGTAATTATTTAGCTTTAATGATTAGAAGGGAGACTTAAAGCAGTACTACACAGATTTAACCAAACATCAAAGTTATCAAGGGCTTTACCAGCACATTAATCAACAGCATACAGATGGGGTCTAGGGTCCTGTGTGTGATTAAATTAGCTGGTCAGACACAGGGACCACAGAAATGAAACATATCAGCCCAAAAGTGGAAAGGGAAAACTATTCTTTTTTCAGCTTTGCTTGGTTTTCTTTGTGTGCATATGTCTGGCATGTGCATGAGTGTGTTCATATGAGTCTGTAGATACATGAGTGTGGCTGCTGGTGTGCATGCATACGTGTGTATGGATGCAGAGGCCAGGTCAACCCCAGGTGTCATTCCCCAGGAGCTACCCACCTTGTTTTTTGAAACACAGTCTCTTGCTGCCCTGGGACTCATTGATTAGGCATGGGTAATTGGCCAAAGAACCCCAGGGATTGTCTGCCTCCCCAAGGTTGGAATTGTAAGTACATACTACCACACCAAGCTTTTTTTTTAAGATTTATTTTATGTGTATGAGTGTGCAACTGTGTGTGGGTATGTGCATATAAGTATAAGTGCCTGCAGGGGCCCAAATTGGATCACTGTGGAGCTGGAGTCACAAGCAGTTGTGAACCACACAACATGTGTGCAGGGAACAGAGCTTGGGTCCTCTACAAGAACAGTATGTGCTTTCAGCCACTGAGCCATCTCTCCAGCCCCACCATGCCAAGCTTTTTACATGGGTTCTGAAGATCAAACTCCGGCCCTCATGCCAGCTCTTTACCCACTGAACTATCTCCTAGTCCCTTGTTGGACTTTCATCTAAATGGAAAGTATTTAGCCACTGGGAGCAACGATTCCATTTTTTCCTTGCTCTGCCTTGCCACTGTGTAACTGGCCACGACATTCACCATAATTCTTACAACAAGATGAAATTGACAACTACTATTCACAATCTAAACACTCAAGATAAGAAACAAAGAGATACTGCACCCTGCACTGCTCTGACACTGTGTGTCTTACAGATTGATAGGAAGGCCCTGCTTCCGTCCTCAGGAGCTTGAGGGTGGGGGCACGCCTCTCGACAGTCTAAATAAGGCCATTTGATGGACACCTACATAAATTTATCCATAAAAGGGTGGGACTATACCCAAAATACTTTCCTTATTTATATTTCAAGATTTCAATCACCTGTTGTGGTAATACAAAGTTTACCATAACTGGTAACTTGTAACATTTTTCTTAGTATTCTTGTTTTTAAACTTCCAAACTATGTCCTTGGAGCTGCATTCTGTGTGGTGCAATTCTGGCCTATGTACATGCATGTGCATATATATGTGTGTGTGTGTGTGTGTGTGTGTGTGTGTGTGTGTGTGTGTGTGTGTGTGTGTGTGTGTGTGTGTGCTTACACAGACACAAAGACATTTAAAAGTTAAGGACAAACCTGCATGATTACAAAAATGATTTTATACCAAGGATAAAAATGTACTGTTAGCTACCAATTCTTCTAGAGTGGCTCAGAGTGCCCTGGGCTCTGGGTCAATCCAAGGTCTTCAGCAAACAGAGAGAATAGGCCCTGTCCTGAGTTTCACACGTGGCCACAGGCAGGGAGGGAAGGGAGACCCTCCTGTACTTGTTGCTTATTCATGCTCATAAGATTTCCTTGTATTTTAGCTATAGCTCACTGCTCTACTGACGTGTGCTCTCTCCAGAACTGACACACCCTAAGATGAGAAACCAAGGGGGCTTCCACTCTTCAATGTCCATGGCAGCTTTTATCCAGATAACACATGGATGTGTGCATGCCACAGCCTACTTGTGGAGATCAGAAGACAACTTGTGGGACCCAGCGTGGGTCCCAGTGATCAAGATCAGGTCAGCAGGGCTGCCCACTGAGCCATCTTGTCAGTCCATCTTTTACTTATATTTGAATGTTGATCCATTTACTTTACTTCTTTCTTCTGAATTTTTTGTGACAGGGTTTCATGTAGCCTAAGCTGATCTCCAATTATCTATGTAGCTATGGATGACCTTAAACCCCTGATTCTCCTGCTTCCACATCCCAAGTGCTGGGACTACAAGTGTGTGTCAATATTCCTTTTAGAAACAGGAGAATATTCTTTTAATTTTTTCAGTTTCTTTTTGTTTCCTGTCCCTGCTACGACAAAATGGGTCACACTAAATGAAGAGACTGGGTCATAGTCAGCACTGTTTCTAAACAGTCACCATAAAAAGAAGGGCAAGTATGCTCAGACTAAAGTTTCTAATAGTTTTCAGTCAGTGATGTCAATAGAGTTGATGCTGACAAAATATAAATTTAAAAATGATTATGTTTCACTTGCATTATTTTTACTTGCTAAATGTGAACCATAATTTGCGCTAAAAAAAGGGAGGGGGGTTGACTGAGAATCAATCAAAAACACAACTCGCATAAATTACCTATAAAAATAATTATGGGTACTACTGGAGAAAGCAACAGAAAGACCTGGGAGGGAGCTGCCTCATCCACTGCCATCATTCCAAAGATGAGGAGTAAGGGCAGAAAAGACATAGGACTCAGGTCACACCACAGAGACAGGGCTAGTCTCCAGAACTTAGCTTCACACTGCTACTGTAAACTTACAAAGTGTTGGGATAGAAACTGAGTGTTTGGGATAGAAACAAAGTGTTGGCTCAGAAGTGTCTTCTGGCTACTCTTACAGAGGACCCAGGCTCAGTTCCCAGCACTCACATGGCAGCTAACAACCATCCATACCTCCAGGTCCAGGGCATCCAATGTCCTCTCTCACCTCTGTGGGCATTGCACAACATAGTATACTTGTACATGTAAGCAATACACTCATACACATAAAAGTTAAAAAAAAGAAAAAAACCTTACCAAGGGTACTACTCAAAGATATCATCCACAGAAACTATTGTAATTTTGTCAAAGAGATATAGATACATGCTTAATATTACCATATAGTTATTTGTTTACATATCGGCAGTACTAGGAACTGAACCCAGGGCCTTGTGTGTCCTAGTCAAAGACTCTACCACTGAACCACATCTCCACTCTTTGCACCTTATTCTGAGACAGGGTCTCCCTAACTTGCCCAGGCTATTCTCAAACTGTGATCCTCCTGTCTCAGGCTTCTGAGTAGCTGGGCCTCCAAGCCTATAGGAACAAAGGCTGTAAAGAGCCAGTTTAGGCAACACAGTACTGATGTGGAGACCTGACATGAGTCAAGATGGCTAATGCTAGACATCCAGAGGGTTATGAGTCAGTACAAAATGGCTGACACTCAATGTCCGAGGACCCCAAAATAAACAGGGACACTATCTGTTATAGAACTATTTGGGGGAGAATGCCACTTTTATGATTTTTATGTGATTCTTTATAAATATGGCCTTGAGATAAGATGTCAGAGGCCAGAGCCTTCACCTTCACCAACTTGCCTATAGGCCTGTGTGCCAAAGAGCACCTGGTGCCCCAGTGGCTACCTGCCTAGCTACCTGTGCTGGTGAACAAGGCATGTCTTATTTACCAGCAGCTCCTCGAATCTCTTCAACCTCCAGCCCCCTGTGTCCCTGCTTTCCTGGCATTGGACCTTGGACCTCACAAAGCCAATCAATCACTTATACTAAAAGTTGGTAGCAGACAAGATAGACATGAAGTATAAACACTGCCCAAGGACCACAAAACAAAACTTCCCAGACCACAAACTCTGAAACTAGAGCCAGTAAAACTAGATCCCATTATTAGTTTGACTTTTATTTTTACTTCTAACTCTAGAACAATGAAAAATTAGTTTCCCTGATTCGGCTTTTCCTGAAACCGGTCCAGCAAAGCCTGCCATCAAAGGCTGTGGAGACAAGACAACGTGCTGAGCTCTGGAAGCAGCTCGGACAATAAAAGGCTGGAGTCAGCTGGGGTGGAGGAGGCACTTACTGTTCACAGTCATAGTAGTCCATTCGCTTCTTCTTCCTGTTGTACGCTGCAACTCGAAAGGGAACGATTTCCAAGGTGATGAGGCCAGGGGCCATCGTCAGCACCTTGGCACCATGGGTCGGCTCATAGAGGTCCTTCCCTGTTTCTGGATGAGGCATGCCAGCAGGGTCTCGTCCAACAATATAAAAATTGGCTCCTGCAACCATCCGTGCTCTGCAGTGCCACTGGACCTAGAATAAATGTCCACATATTAGACAACTCTGCGTTTATGATTAAGTATCTGGAAATAGCAAATGGATAATAAATGCACACAATTTTATGTTTCAACACTTTACCACTGAGCTACATCTCAACATGTGTTTTATAACTTCATTCTCTAAAAGTAAAAAATCACAAGCCTCTTGGGAGGCTTGAAGCAAAATTAGGCCTCCAAACCCAAAACATTAATGGGCATGTGTGTGTGTGTATACACATGTATTGACATGTTATATGGTTATGAGATATGTGAACGGACATGTATAGCCATGTGTATGATTTTACATAATCATAAGAAGTCATTCATAAAGCTCAAAATCCAATCTACAATAGAAGTCAGGATACAGTCGATACCTGGAGGGAAGTACTGCTAGGGCCGCCTGGATAGGGCGATGCTCTGGAGTTTGCTCTGGGACCTCGGTTCTGGCAGTAAGGCTGGCTCACTGTTCACTGAGCTGCATGCACACTTACACTTTATAAGCCTTTCCTTTTTTGTCAGAAAAAAACACAACAGTACTGAATGGAAATGACCTACCTTATACACTTACATAAGCTGATACTGAGAAAAACACGTAGCTAAGTGACTACAACTTCAAGGTACCGGGTCCAAGCAAAACGAGTAAAGAGCCGTACTACATGTAAAACCAGCTCTGAAGTCCACCCTTCACATTAAGGCCTATCATTTAAAAACAAGATCAGTCTAACATCCAGCACAGTGAAACTTCAGAGCAGTAAGAGATCATCTATAGTTCAACATCTTCTTAAACTTGAAGCAATCAAAGCCCCAGGATTTGGCCAAAGATATGTAGGACAAGCCCAGGCCTAGAAGTCTGGAATTTGGCTGATTGTATACAGTCATCACTGCTACATACAAAACCAGACATAATGGCTACTACACATGAGCAAGCACAGCATTCTATTGTTTTGTCTTCATTCTGTCTTTCTTGACAGTTTCTTTTACATCCAGCATTTAGTTTTTATCAACAAAGCTTAAAAAGCGCAACAGAACACCAGAAACCATAGATCCTCTATTTGAAGTGGTCGTGTCGGGGTTTCGATTGTATCCACTGTATTTACCTTCAGACCTTCAAACAGTGGATGCACAATGGTCTGTCTTCACTGTTAAACTGTAGCTACTGTATAGTATAGGCATTACTTGCACATCATGTAACTCTCCTGTTATAAGACATGATGTTTCCCTCTCAGTTCCCATCCCATTTCCCCACACAGTGATACACTGTTCCTGACTAAATCATCTGCAAAATGGGAACTGCACTAGTATTCATCTCACGGAATTTTAACATATTTTCTTATTTTTATTTTATGTGCATGAGTGTACTGCTTGCATGTTATGTAAGTACACCCAGGTCATGCAATGCCCATGGAGGTCAAAAGGGGGTGTTGAACTCTCCTGAAACTGGAGTTACAGATGGCTGTTAGCTGCCATGTAGGCACCGAGAATCGAACCAGGTCCTCTGCAAGAGCAATCAGTTCTCTTAACCACTAAGCCATCACTCCAGCTCCCTCACAGAATTTTAAAGAAAATAAATGAAACATGAGGATTTGGAAGTCCTGGTGTACAGTAAGTATGCACTATGTTACTCATTATTAGTCTTTATTTTTATTCAGCTCCTTACACAACAGCTTGTTTTTCTAGAGAAAACTGGCTGCCTTGACCTTTTCCCACTTGTCTAGGTGTCCCTATTCCATGTCTATGTGTCATATTCTTGCTAACCTCCTCTGCAAGCACAAAGCATTCCCATCTCCCTTGTAGTGTGGCCATTTGGCTGAACTGTGGCCAAGGAACAGAGCCAACGTGATGTACAGAACTTCCAACTGTGGCCCATAAAAATCATTCCCAGCTCTGTCCTGGTTTTCCCTTACCATTTGCTAAATATTTGAAGGGACCCAAAGTCTTATATCAGCGTTGGCTTTAATTGTCAATGTGACATACCTGGAAAGAAGAACCCTCAAAGGGCAATTTCCTCTATCAGATTAGGAATCTGTTCTGTTGGATTGGCCTGAGGACATGTCTATGAGGCATTTTCTTACTCTCTGAGTGGTATAAGAGGGTCTAGCCCACTGTGGCGGTGCCCCCTGGGCAGGTGGTCCTGGACTGTGTAAGAAAGCAGGCTAAGCACAGATCAAGGGAGCAAGCCAGTAAGCAGGAGTCCCCCATGTTGAGTTCCTGCCTGAGCTCCCTCAATAATGAACTGTGCTGTGAAGCAGAAGCCAAACTAACCCTTTCCTCTCTGGTCAGTGTTTTATCACAGCAACAGATATTCTATGACTAGGTTTTTTTAAAAAGATTATGTGTGTGTGTGTGTGTGTGTGTGTGTGTGTGTGTGTGTGTGTCTATATCTGTGTGAGTGTATACCAAATATGTGCAGGTAGGTACCCCTAAACGCCTGAGGAGAGCATCCCCTGGGGCTAGAGTTACAGGCAGTTGTGAGCCACCAGATGTGGGTTCTGGGAAGCAAACACTCTTAAGCACTGAGCCATCTGTCCTGTGTACAATTTTTTCCTACTATGGCACTGCTACTACTTATGCTAAGTTGTGAAAGGCTCTGTATGAACATAGTAACGAAACATGATACTGACACTTGCCTGTTCCCTACATACATATAAATGCTATTCTTGCTTCATCCACCATCAGACCCAGTCCATCTGTGGTCTCCTCTGTCCCTGCACAGAAGACCTCTACTAATTCAGACTCAACCTTACATGAAGAGGTCAGTCAGAATGTTATCAGTTAATCTCTTGTATCTCTGCCTCATGGAAATTAGAAGCTGTTTGTACAGAGCTCAATTAAAGAGTAGTCTAGGGAGGTCAAGATGGCTCAGTGGGTCAAAGCACTTGCCACCAAGCCTGTCAACCTGAGTTGGATCCCCACAACCTGCATGATGGAAACAGAGAACCAGTTCCTGTGGGAAGCGAGCACAGCCGAGCCAGCCAAAGATGGAGCCCTGGCTGGCTGCCAAACCTCGTGCTGTTTACTCCAACTCTTGGCTGATTGCCAAGGCTCATGATTCCCGCTTGCTTACTCCAAAGTATGGAGAGGCCAAACAGGTGCTGCCAGCCTGATGATCTTGCTACATGGCTAATGAGCTGCACTCTGCCTGCCCACTGCACGTGTGTGTGCCCTGATTGGTCCTGGCTAGAGGGAGGGCTGTTGGAAATGCTATATGAACAGCTGAGGTGTGTAATAGAGGAGAATAGAAAAGAACAGAACAGCAACAACGAGACAGCATCA